AGAGACTCAGTGACAACTGGACCGGCACCTGGGGTGAGCCACTGGGCCAGCCTGGGAGGCGCGGGGCTTCCAAAGGAGGTGCCAGAGGTGGCAGCAGTTGGACAGAGGGTGTGTGGTGCCCTCAGCAGAGGATCAGTTGGGCTGGGGGCTGCAGCCCATGGAAGTCTCTCCCAGGGATCCAGCGGTATTCCTTGCCTCTCCAGGAGGACGGGCCCTTTCTGTGTCACAGGCCACCCCCGCGGCCTCTTGGGGGCTGGTCTGTCCACAGAGTGCAGCTTAAATGGTGGTGGAAGCTGGGCAAGATGGATTGCCCCCCCCCGCCCCCACATCCTGGGGAGGGCCACCTGATAGCCCCTGCTGACCCTGGGTCACCCACACTGCCTCTGTCCCGCGGGCCCTGGAGAAAATCATTAATGGGAGGCCAGCTTCCGGGCCAGGGCGGCTCCCCTCAGGGACCCGGGGTGAGGAGATTGGTTTGACCTCTGGTCGATAAGGTCTCCGGTGGGCAGGAGGAGAGCTAGAAGACAGGGAGGGATGTGGAGGCCTGCCCTTGGGGGAGGGGGCAGGAAGGTCACCTCTGGAAGTCATTCCAAGAAGGTCGAAGGTCATGGGGAGGGGTCTTCTAGACAAATGCCACCAGGTGTGGGCCTCAGGGCACTGGAGTTCTTCCTTCCGTGAATCTGAGCATGGGACAACGCAGGTGCCTGTTGTCAGGTCCTGGCTGTGGACGGTGCTCCCAGGGAGGGGTGGCAGAAGCGAGGAGGATGCACGCTTGGTGGCCCAGGAGCCAGGCCTGCCGCTCTGGGTTGTGTGGCTTGGAGCAATGGACTTCAGTCTTCTTCTCTCTCTTTTCTTTCTTTTCTTTTCTTTTCTTTTTTGTTCTTTTTCTTTCTTTTTTTTTTTTTGAGAGGATTTTTGCTATAGGGCGCGTGTGCTCGCCAGAAAGACAGAGAGAGACAGAGAGACAGAAAGCGAGAAATCACCCCCCAGGGGGGATGGCCATGCCACAATCCCTTCTCCTCTATTCTCCTCTCGGGATCTTGGGCACACACACATGCTCCCAGCGTGAATTTAAGCCACCGAGTCTGGGACCCGAACCACGGTGGACTACATGGGAGTCCGGCGACATAGCCATTACACCAACTGCTGGTCCCTGGACTTCATTCTTCTGAAGCTTGGTTTTTACCTCTGTTAAAGGGGGGTGACCATTGTTCCCATGGGACAGGGTTGTCAGGACTGTCAAAAGCAATGGGAACATGGGGCTAGCAAGAGGCGTGGTGGTTAAGGTGGCTGGACTCCCATGTGGCTGACCGTGGCAGCTTGCTTTCTCACTTTCCTTCTCTTTATCTCTGGTCACTTCAATAAAACAAGTAAGTAAATAAACTGAGATAATGACAATGAATAACATAAAATAAAATAATTCTTAAAAAAATTAACAAAAAGGAAACGGCAGCTTCTCAGAGTCCCTCAAAGGGTGCCCCTGTCTTCTCCTGGCAGCTCCCCATCTGGGCACACATGCCGGCCAGGCTGCCGACACTCAGTGATGTTTTAGACGCTTAGCCTCCATGGCAGTCCAGGAGGTAGGTGCTGTTGTCCTCACCTCATTTTACAGGTGAGGACACTGAGGCACAGAGAGGTTAGGGACTCGTTAGGGTGGCACGCCCTGGGTTCTGAGGCTGGGGCCAGCTTCTGATGGGGGACCAGAGCGGTGGCCAGGAGACAGCCTGGGGATACCCTGTGACCTTGTCAGTGCAGCCGTGGGGCCTCAGTTTCCTCCTCTGTTATTTGGGTAATGCTTCCACCCTGAGGGTGGTGGCAAAGGTTCAATAAAGTGGCCCCACTGATGTCCCTGTGGGGCCCAGGCCGGGGAGGCCAGCATGGGAACTGAGACCCTGAGCTGGGCGTGGGCTTTGTCTGTAGTGGGTGAGGGACACACGATCCCTGCCTTGGGGAGCCCCCGGCTAAGGGGTGAGACAGTTTGCACAGCTGAGGTCTCAGAGCTGTGCCAGAGTAGAAATGGGGGGTCCTGTGTGCCCAGATAGTGCCAGGCTGTGTGGGCAACAGAGCAGACCCAAGATGCTGTCTGGCCCTCGGGAACGGTCAGCTGTACGGTTGGGATGGGCCGGGGCGATTAGCAGGCGTAGGGGACCTAGTTTAATGCTGACTGTGGCAGGACCCAGGTCTTCCCAAGGTTTGTGCATTCATCGGTCCAGGTGTTTGTGCCTCTGCTGGGCTCGGTGCTGGGGATGTGCTGGGAAACGAGGCAGAGACGGCGCCAGCTCGCCTGGTGCTGCCCGTCTACTGGGGCAGACAGACGAGAGCCAGAGAGGGAGACGGCAGGTCAGGTTGAAAAGTGCTAGAAAGGAACGGAAGTGTGGTCCAGGCTGGAGAGCGACTGAGGCGGGCTTCCTCTGGAAGGCGGTCCAGGAGGGCCTGGGAGGTGACATTTGAGCAGAGACCTGAGCGAAGGAGGGTGGCCAGCCAGCGGCCGGAGGTTAAGGTGCTGGGTTCCACGTGGCCGGCTGCTGACTTGCCAAACAGGCTGGGAGTGTGTGCCCAACATCCCCGTGGGGGAGCTGGGGAGAGGGCATTGTGGTGTGGTCTCCCCCGAGTGTGCTTTCTTACTTTCTCTCTCTCTGTTTAGCAAATTAAATAGAGGGGCAAATTACAAAAATATGATGGGGCAAGAGCTTCAAAGCCGAGGGAAGGGCAAGGGCCAGGGCCGTGGCGCGAGCATGTGCTTTGCGTTTGGAGTGCTCAGGGGGATAGGAAGGTGGCTAGGCTGGTCGGGGGCTGTGGTAGGAGACCGGGGTGGAAGGGCCATCGGGGCTCACCTGCTGTGGCCTCACCTGGAGGCCATGTGAGGACCTGTATCTAAGTGTGACCGGAGGCCCTGGAGAGCAAAAGGGCGGATGACAAGGTGACTGGGTTTGGAGGACAGAGTAGAGCAGGCGAGGCTGGGAGCAGGAGGCCAGTGAGGAGGCAGGTGCTAGTCACCCAGGCAGGAGTCGGTGGGCAGGGAGGGGGTGCGGCTGCATACCCGGCAGGCTTGCTGGTCAGTGTCGAGGCCCTGAGGGGTGCAGGGACTTTCAGGGGCAGTTGCAAAGTAAAGGCTGTTCCAAGAGAGGCCTGAGATTCCACAGTACTTGGTGAGTGGGTAAACATGAAGGCCCTGGGAAATGGGGGGACGCCCCAACCTCACGTACCAGCGGCACCGTTCCTGTGGACTCTGGCCCCTTGCTTCCTGGGATGACACTTACCAGGCTTCCCTCCTACCTCGCTCTGGGCCTGAACAGAGCTCTTTGACCCTCGCACCTGGCCTGAATCCAATCCTGTCGAGGTCAGTGCTTTCTTCCCACTCGTCACTTTGTCCACAGCCACCGTGGGATGGAAGCAGCGTAGGGGTCTGCTCCACTGTTCTCCTGAAAAGGAATTAGGCAGGACAGACCCTGGGCCCAAGGTCACACGGCAGTGACCTCCCTCCATACTTCCTGGCCACAGTGGAGAGACGATACGCTCAGCCCGAGGCCTGACTTTCAGCTCTGGCTGGGCCATGTCCAGGAACTTGCCGTACCTCTCTGAGCCTCAGCCGCCTCACCTGTGAAATGGGTGGGAATGGGACCGTTACGGGTGGGTGCAAGGCCCGGCCCCGAGCTGTCGAAAGCCGGGCCTGGCTCCTGCCTGCTGCGAGCCAGGACTCCAGCGAGCCTCCCTGTTTCCTTCCCGCGCAGATGCTGGTGGCCGAGGAGAGCGTGGACTTCCGCATCCACGTGGAGAACCAGACGCGGGCTCGGGACGATGTGAGCCGTAAGCAGCTGCGGCTGTACCAGCTCTACAGCCGGACCAGCGGGAAGCACATCCAGGTCCTGGGCCGCAGGATCAGCGCCCGCGGCGAGGACGGGGACAAGTATGGTATGTGCCAGGCCCTCCTCCCGCCCGCACACGCACTGCCCGTCTCAGAGCCGTCCAGTTCTAAAGCTCAAACCCCAGCTCCGCTGCCAGGTCTCGGCCGTGTCATCTTAGCACTGAGCCCTTCTGGGCCTCGATTTCCTAATTTGTAAAATGAGGATGAAATGGAGGCTTGTGGGGGCCCTACCAAAGATGTGAGTGAAAAGTGCTTTTGCTGGTGAGTGCCCTGGAGACGGCGGTTGTGGGTATCAGAGGCTGCTCCGCACGCCATTGCTCCCCTGGCCCAGGTTCAGATGCACGAGGGGCGGGAGCCTCTGGCTGATGCTTTTTGGGTGCCAGTGGTGGTGGAGGTTGGCCTAGGTGCACGTGTGTGCATGTGTGCGTGTGCACGTGTGCACGTGTGTGTGTGCTTTGCGCTTGAGCTGTGTACCTGTGAGACGTGGGTGCTCGCAGCACCGTGGACCGTGGTCCCCTTGACCTGCCTTTGACCTGAGTACTGCCCAGCAGCTCTCCTCTGGGGTATTTGGGAACCCCCACCTGCCAGCCCCAGCTGTCTCTGCAGAGCCACTGGGAGCAGTAAGGCACCCTGACCCTCCTCCCTCCCCAGACCTGGCCCACAAAGACCATCCACAGTGAGCAAAGCAGGCAGGACTCCACTTTGCCAGGGCCTGGAGGGATCTGGCCCATATAGACATTGAGCAAATACTCACCCACAGGTTATTTATTTAAAATTGCTGGGCAGGAAAAGCCGAGGCTGCTGGGAGGCCTCCTGTCCTCGCCCCTGGCCTGGAAAGCACCTGCCCACACCCGTGCCTGCCGTCTCCGGCCTCGGGCCTGGGAGCTGGCCGTGGGTGGCCAAGGCCAGTGGGGGCCGGTGTCCTGTGTGCGCAGCCAGCCTGCCAACCTTGGCGTTTCTGAGAGGATGCCCCAGTGGCCCCTGCCCGTGCAGTCAGGATGTGACAACGAGACAAATAATTTCTTGGACCTTTTATCTTGGACACCATTTATTTTCCTACAGCCCCGGGGCAGGACTGACCTCATGGTAGGACCCAAGTGTGGCAGGTGCACCGCCCCCTGGGGGTGGGGGGGGGCGCGGC